GGATGATAATGGAATAGTTTAGGTTAGATGGGCTTCAGATTGGTTTCACAGGTCGGCGCAACATCGAGGGCCGAAGGGCCTGTACTGTGCTGTAATGTTCTATGTTCTATTACACCAAGGTGGGTGGTGTAGTGGACAGTGAAGGAGGTTATCTGGGAATATAGCAAGATCTTGATCAACTTAAATAAGATGGGTGCAATCACTCTGACAGAATTATACCACAGGCCCCAAACAGTCACAAGACATTGAGGAACAAATATATACGCAGGTTATGGAAAGACGCAATAACAACAGGGCTGTCATAGTGGATAACTTTAACTTCCCCAATACTGACTGGGACTCCCTTAGAGCAAGAGGCTTAGACAGGGTAGAATTTATTTAGTGCATCCAAGAGGGCTTCTTGAAACAGAAACAGTGGATAGTCCAACTACAGGTGGGCCACACTGGACTTTGTATTGGCTAATGAGCCTGGCCAGGTGATTGACCTTTTAGTGGGAGAGCATTTTGGAAACAGTAATTACAACTCCTTAAGTTTTAAGATAGCTGTAAATAAGGATCAGTCATGACATTGTGGGAAGGTACCAAATTGGGGGAGGGCAAATTACATCAGTCTTAGGCAGGAGCTAGGGAGTGTTAATTGGGAGGAGCTGTTATCAGGCAAGTCCACGTTTTACATGTTGGAATTGTTTAAAGACCTGCTGATGAGAGTTCACGATCGGCAAGTTTCAGTAAGGAGGAAGGACAAGGATGGCAAGGCAAGTGAATCTTGGATAACAAGGGAGATTATAAATTTATTCAGAAGAAAAGAGAAGCGTACGTAAGGTTTCGGAAGCTAAAATCGGACAGAGGCCATGAGCAATGTAGAGAAAGTGGGAAGGAACTCAAAAAGGGAATTAGGAGAACAAGAAGGGGCCACGAAATGACCTTGGCAAGTAGGGATAAAGAGAATCCCAAGATATTCTATACATACATTAAAAACAAGAAGATAACTAGGGAGAAGGCAGGACCACTCAAGGATAAAGGAGGGAACTTGTGCTTAGAGGCAGAGGATGTGAGTGAGATCCTAAATGAGTACTTTGTGTTGATATTCACCCAGGAGAAAGATATGGAGCATAATGAGATTTGTGTTGAGCATGTTAATATGCTACGGCATTTTGAGATCAAGACAGAAGTGGTGCTGACTGTTGAAGAGCATTAAGGTGGATAAGTCCCCAAGGCCCGATGGTATCTACCCCAGGTTACTGAGAGAGGCAAGAGAAGAGATTACTAGGGTCTTAACCAAGATCTTTTGATTCCTCATTAGCCACTGGAGAGGTCCTGGACGACTGGCCTAATAGGGACAGTCAGGATAGCTTTGTGCAGGGCAAGTCATGTCTTATTAACCTGACTGAATTTTTCAAAGAGGTGACAGAGGTGATTGATGAGGGTAGACGTTGTCTACATGGATTTTAGTAAGGCTTTCAACAAGGTCCTTCAGGGTAGGCTCATCCAGAAGATTAAGATGAGTGGGAACCACGATGATCTGGCTGCATGGATTCAGAATTGGCTTACCCATAAAAGGCAGAGGGTAGTGGTGGAAGGGTGTTTTTCAGGCTGGACTTCCGTGACTAGTGGTTTTCCGCAGTATCCATAATGGGACCTCAGATGTTTGTGATTTATTCATAAATACAAATTACAGTGATGAAAACGTAGATGGGTGGGTTCGTAAGTTGGCAGACGACGCAAAGATCGGTGGAGTTGTAGATAGTGCAGAAGTTTGACAAAGGATACAGAGGGATGGCGCTTCTGTACGAGTGACATTGCACACTTTTCACTGCATTTTATTTTGAATATATGTGACAATAAAGGATATTCAATTCAATTCACTATAGATCAGTTGCAGATATGGGTGAGAAATCGCAGATAGAGGTTAATCCAAGTAAGCATGTGGTGCTGCACTTTGGGAGATCAAATGTTAAGGAAACATGTACAGTTAATGGCAGGATCCTGAACAATATTGATGTAAAGACGGATCTTGGGGTTCAAGTCCATAGCTCCCTGAAGGTGGCCACTCAAATAAATAAAGTGGTAAGGAAGATGTATGGCATGCTTGCCTTTATTGGTCAGGAAATTGAGTAGAATCATTATGTCAGGAGGCAGCTTAATAACACTTTAGTTAAGCCACACGTAGAGTGCTGCATTCATTCCTGGTTGCCACATTACAGGACAGATGAGTCGGATTTGGACAGGGTGCAGAAGAGATTCACCGGGATGCTGAATGGATTAGAGGAAATGAACTATAAGGAGGGGCTGGACAAACTCTAGTTGTTTTCTCTGTAGCAGTGAAGGCTGAGGGGAGACCTGATAGAAGTCTATAAAAGTATGAGATGCATAGTCAGACAGACAACTGATGGTCAGAATATTTTTCCAGGAGTTGAAATGTCTAAAACTAGGGGATATGCATTTAAGGTGAAAGGGGGAAAGTTCAAAGGAAGTGTGAGGGGCAACTTTTTTGCACAAAGACTAGTAGAAGTGTGGAACAAGCTGCCGGGGTGGTGGTGGAGGGAGATACGATAGGGGACTTTTAGATAAACACATGAACATGCAAGGAATGGAATAATATGAACCAAGGGTAGGCAGAAGGGATTATATTAATTTGGCACCTTGTTCGGCACAACATCATGAACCGAAAGGCTTGTTCCTGTGCTGTACAGTTCCAAGTTCTAAGTTCAAACTGGGCCAGTGAGCTGAGGAATGGCAGGCAGAGTTTAATTTAGATAAATGCATTCTGGTAAAGCAAACCAGGGTAGGACTTACACAGTCAATGTTATAAAACAAAGAGATCTAGCGGGTATAAGTTCATAGCTGCTTGAACATAAGAGTCACAGGTAGACAGGGTGATGAAGGCGGCTTCGGCATGCTAGCTTTCATCAGTCACAGCACTGAGTATAGAAGATGGGACATCTTGTTGCAGCAGTACAAGACATTGGTAAGGCCACATTTCGAGTACTCTGTGCCGTTCTGGTCACCCTGCCATAGACAGGATATTATTAAACTAGAAAGAATGCAGAACAGATTTGATAGAATGCAACCTAAACTGGAAGGTTTGACTTATAAGGCTGAATCATTTCTTTCCTGCAGCATAGGAAGACTGAGTGGTGACCTTATAGAAATCTGTAAAGTCATGAGAGGCATAGATAAGATAGATAGCCAACAGCTTTTCCCCATGGGTAGGGGAAGTCTAAAAGTAGACAGCATAGGTTTAAGGTGAGAGAGGAGAGATACAAAAGGATCCAGAGGGGTGGTTAGTGTCTGGAATGGGCTGCCAGAAGTAGTGGTGGAGGCAAGTATAATTTCATCATTTAAGAAATTTGACAGGTGCATGGAAGCAATAGGTGTGGAGGGATATGGACCAAACACAGGCAAATGAGACTGGTTTAATTATGAAAACTGGCAGCATGGACAAGTTGGGCCGCAAAATCTGTTTCCATGCTGTAAACCACTATGATGTGGCTTTGTGCAGGGAAGGCGTATCTCACGAACTTGATTGAAGTTTTGTTGAGGAAGTGACAAAGACGATTGTTGGATGTTGTCTATAATGGACTGCAGCAAGTCTATTGACAAGGTCCCTCATGACAGGCTGATACAAAAAGTGAAGTCACATGGATCCCCCAAAAAGCAGGTAAAACAGATACAGAATGGGTTCAGTCAGAGAAGACAGAGAGTAGCAGTGGAAGGCTGTTTTTCTGTCTGGAGATCTGTGATAAATGGTGTTCCACAGATATCAATGATGGGACCCCTGTTGTCTGTAATGTATACGATTGGAGGAGGGAGGAGAATGAAGGTTATCTGATTAGCAAGTTTGAGGATGACACAAAGATTGGGGGAGCTACTGATAGCAAGAATAATTGCTAGAGGACACAGCAGGATATAGACAGGCCGCAGACTTGGATGGAAAAATGGCAGATGGACTTTAATCTGGAAAAATGTAAGTGATGCATTTTGGAAGTTCTAATGCAGGAGGGAAGTATACAGTAAATCTCAGACCCCTTAGTAGCATCAACATACAGAGGGATCTAGGTGCATACAGGTCCACATTTCGCAGAGGTCATTCCCTCCAAAACACCAACAAGCTACCCTGTACACCACAAACCTTCTTTTTCTGCAAAAACCTCTGATGTGACACTTTGTCCAAGTACAGTATAAACAGTACTGTGTGGAGTTCTGGCCGCCCTACTATAGGAAGGATATCATTAAATTGGACAGGGTTCAGAAAAAGTTTACAACGATGTTGCTTGGATTCGAGGATTTCAGTTATAAGGAGAAGCTGGATAGGTTGGGACTGTTTTCACTATAGCCGAAGTTAAGATGTGATCTTATAGATATTTGTAAAATAATGAAGGACATTGATAAGGTGAATAGCAAAGGTCTTTTCCCTTGGGTGAGAGTGTTCAAAACTTGGGGGGTCATTTTCAAGGTGAGAAGAGAAAGATTTAAAAGGGACCTGAGGGGCAACATTTTCACATGTTCGTGTGTGGAATGAACTGCCAGAGGAAGTGGTAGACGCAGGTACAGTTAGAACATCCAAAAAACATTTGGACAGATACATGAATAGGAAAGGTTTAGAGGGATATGGGCCAAAAGCAGGCAAGTGGGACTAGTTTAGTTTGACAAACTTGGTTGCCACGGACAAGTTGGACCAAAGGGTCTGTTTCCATGTTATGTGATTCTATGACTCTGAATATCTCCAATCATTTGGTTAATCTTGATTTCCCTTTCATAAACCCTAAATAACTCTGTCAAATTACCTTGCATTTATCAAAATCTCCTGCTAGGCCTTATTTAAAATTATTTTCACTGTGGAATTTGTGGAACTAAGTGGCTTGTATTTTCGTGCTTTTTACCTCCCTCCCTTCTTGAATAAGGAAGTTATATGTGCGATCATCCAAACTAATGGAAGTCTACCCCGAAGCAAGAGAGTTTTGGAAATTAAAACCAACCACATCTCATTAGCCACTTACTTCTTACTCTAGGGAGAAGTAGTCCATCAAGATTTGGCATCCTGCAGCTCAAACACTTCGCTCAGTTCCACTTCTCTGGTGAGTGCGATTTTCCAAAGTTCACGTCTCCCTTCCATTTCCTGATGTATCTCTACTTCGGAGACGTTATTCTACCCTGTATAGTGAAGACGGATACAAAATACCTGCTCAATTCATCTGCCATCACTGAAATTTCCATTATCAGCTCTGCACACTCACTTTATTGGACCAAAACATTTTGTCAGCTTTTCTGTTTATTTTTTTCAGACAGACTGAGAGGAACTGTTACAATCTGTATTAATATTTCTGGACAGTTTTCTCATAGAATCTCCCGTTATCTCCCTGAGTACATCTACAGGGGCTGTCGGACCCAGTCCCCGCCCTCATCCGGACAGCGCCGCGCTCCCGCGACACCGAATGGAGGGGGGCCCCCTCCTCCAGGGCCGGGAAGCAGCGGGACACGGGACTCACCGAGAACCGCGAGCATCAACACACACAACGAGCACTGCCCCCGGAGAGCAGGAACATGGCGGCGGATGGGGGTGGGGACTGAGTGTCAGTGGATGGGGACTGAGGCTCTGGGGCATGGAGATATGGGGACACGGAGAGAGGGTCAGGGGCGGGTCTGAGGG